GAGGTCAGGGCTCGGGACCTGCAGGGCGGGAAGCAGATGTGGAGGCCGGGGAGGGGCGTGCTGGATGTGTGCTGACGAGGAGGGAGCCAGGCCCAAGGAATTCCCTTGGTCAGGGGCTACCCCTTGGCACTGAGGACCCTTCCTGGCACAATGATGGGGACGGAGGTGGGGGGCCCTGGTCCCTGCACGAGAGGCACATCTGTGCGGACAGAGACTGCCCCCAGAACGCCCGTGCGTGAGATGGTGTCTTGGGTGGGCCTGGTGAGCTGGGAGCCATCCACACCCCACACACGAGGATGCTAAAGGCAGGATTGGCGTCTGAAGCCCAAGGACAGGATACCGTGGGATTGTCTCAGGCCTGTTTGCCCCTGGGGGCCTGGGCTCTAACCATAAGGCTCCCCAGCTAATGCTGGCGCCCACGAAGGAGGGGGGAGAAGGGCTGCTGTGAGTCAGGCAGCATCCGGGAAAGTGTGTGCGTGGGAGGGGGTGGAGGGGGCGGAGGGGGCGTGGGGTTTGCCTCTGGCTGACCCTAAGGACACTCTGTCTGCAGGAGGGGCCGGGGGAGATCCTGGAGTACTCGGTGCTGCTGCCCCGCGCGCTCTTCCAGAAGACCAAAGGCCGGAGGGGGGAGGCTGCCCAGAGACTCCTCCTGGTGGACTTCAGCAGCCAAGCCCTGTTCCAGGTACGGCCGCCCCCCGCCCCCCGGGAAAAGCCGTGTCTGTCTGACGGAAAGATGGAAGGAAGGCGTGGAGCCCAGCCCCTCCTCCAGGAGTCAGAGCCCTTCCTTACAAAGCCAGAAATTGGCCCGCACCGTGCACATCTCCCCGGGGAAGGTCTGAGTGGCATTGTTCTCACTACAGTGTAAATGACTACACGTGCAATCACTGTTCCCAACGGGAGACCCAGCATGGCAGCAACAGGAGCCTAGAATGCTAGGGGATTCTGGGCCTTTCTTCTCAGCCTCGAACCCCTCCCCCCTCTCTCCCCCCACCTCACATCTAGGACAAGAATTCCAGCCAAGTCTTGGGGGAGAAGGTCTTGGGTATTGTTGTGCCGAACACCAAGGTCGCCAACCTCTCGGAGCCCGTGGTGCTCACCTTCCAGCACCAGCCACAGCCGGTGAGTGTGAGCAAACCGGCCAGGAGACGAGGGTCCCCTTTGGCCATGTTTTCCTTCCTCCCCCCTCTCTTCTGAATCACTGGTCTTCAATGAAATGATCGACTGGCCAATCAGCCAGTCAGGCCCACCTGGGGTGTGTGTGGGTGTGTGTGGGGGGTGGGGGGGGGGTGTGGCCTGACACTGACTTCCTGTCCGGCCCACGAAGGGGTGGACTGTAATGGATGTACTCTCCCTTCTGGTCCCTACAGAAGAACGTGACGCTACAATGTGTATTCTGGGTTGAAGGCTCGGCATGTGAGTGTGGAGGGGTCTGCCCTGGGCAGGTACCTGCAGGGTGGGGGGCATGGGGTTAATCAGGGAGGGCTTCCTGGACAAGGTGGGCTTTGAAGAGGGAGTGATGGCAGATGAGGGATCTGCCGGGTGGAGCAAAGGCTCGGGAGAATGATACAGTCATACATTTGGGGGTTCAGTGGGGCCCTGGGAGACTGGGCTTGATCAGAGCCCCCATGCTGTCTCCTCCCCAGTGACCGGCCCAGGGAGCTGGAGCAGCGCCGGGTGCAAGACCATCAGCAGAGAGATGCAGACGTCCTGCCACTGCGACCACCTGACCTACTTCGCAGTTCTGATGGTGAGCGCTTGCTGTGTGCCCGCCACCCCTCAGATAGTCTGTCACCCGTTCCTCACAACAACCCATTTTACAGATAATGAAACGGAGGCTCAGAGAGGTTAAGCAATTTACCCGAGGTCACACAGCTCCTAAGGAAAGGAGCTGGTCTCTACAACCCCTGCCGTTTACCGCCAAGTTTTGGCGCCTGACAAAAAGACAGATTCCTGGCCCTGACCTAGAATGCTGATTCCTCAGGGCTGGGGTGGGGCTAGGAGAGTGCTTCTAAGGAGCCCTCGAGGGGGTACCGAGGTCCAGTGTGGAGGCCCCTGGGTGGGCATGAGTTCCCCCAAGATCTCAGAAGCTTTGTGTCCGAGGTCTGTGTTCTCAGAATCTTAGAACCCGGAGTCTGAGGGTTCAGAGTGGCCTTTAGCTCTTCCTGGGGGCGGGTGCTTTCTCCATCGCAGACACCCTAATCCTGCATTGAATGTTGTAGAAAACGAATCAGTGCCCGGACAGAAGAGGGTACCTGGCGAGGGCTCCTGGCCTTTGTGGGTCAGGGACCCGTTGGGGAAAGTGCTGAAAGCTATAGGCCCCTCCAGAAAAGGCACTCACGGGACCACAGTCTGCTCAGTCTGGGGAGGGGGTTCACAGACCCTTGAGGCCCCCCCCCCCACGGACCACGGGCTCATGGAGGGGGCACACCGAGGCAGCGCTGACCTGTCTCGTGGACCCAGGTGGCCTCCGTGGAGGTGGACGCCGTGCACAAGCACTACCTGACCCTCCTGTCCTACGTGGGCTGTGTCATCTCCGCCCTGGCCTGCGTTCTCACCATCGCCGCCTACCTCTTCTCCAGGTAGGACCGGGGAGGGCGGCAGAGGGGAGGGAGGCCCGTTCCAGGCCCCCAGGCCAGGACCCACCCCCATGGAGACCTGCCCGGGAGATGGGTGTGGTGGCGGGAGCCGTGAGAGGTGCTGGCTGCTGGCCCCTGGGCACCACCTTCCTTCCTCAGATCTGTGGTGTGTGGGTAACAGCATTTCCCCCTGACTTTGGGAGCATCTGGTGGGTTGTAGTGGCTGATTTGTCTATTTTGCTGTCTGGCTAAGGCTGCTGTTAAATGCACATAGTAGGTGCACAGGGACAAGTGGGGAATGGCTTGGCTGCAGTCAGGAGTCTGTGTGTGTGTGTGTGTGTGTGTGTGTGTGTGTGTGTAGTCTGGGAAGGCTGCCTGGAGGAGGAGGAGTGGGTCACGGGGTAACCATTCCCCTTGCCCCACCCCCACGCAGGAGGAAGTCTCGGGATTACACCATCAAGGTGCACATGAACCTGCTGCTGGCCGTCTTCCTACTGGATGTGAGCTTCCTGCTCAGCGAGCCGGTGGCCCTGACAGGCTCCGAGGCTGGCTGCCGCGCCAGCGCCATCTTCCTACACTTCTCCCTGCTCGCCTGCCTCTCCTGGATGGGCCTGGAGGGCTACAACCTCTACCGACTGGTGGTGGAGGTCTTCGGCGCCTACGTCCCTGGCTACCTGCTCAAGCTGAGCGTCGTGGGCTGGGGTAAGTTGGTGCAGGGTGTTGGTGGGCCCCCAGACCTGCCCTGGCTTCTGGCCAAACCAGGCACCTGGCTGTGCTTCTCCACCCAGCTCTCTGGCGGCTTCCTCACTGCCTCCTTCCCCCTCCCCCCATCCTCAGGCCTCACCAGAAGGCAGGGGAGGGGTGAGCCTCACAGGGTGGGAGATGGAGCTTCACCCTTTGCTGTCCACAGGCTTCCCCGCCTTCCTGGTGACCTTGGTGGCACTGGTGGACATTAACAACTACGGCTCCATCATCCTGTCTGTGCAAAGGACCCCGGAGAGTGTCATCTATCCTTCCATGTGAGTGGCTGTGTGTGGTGGGGGCAGGAGTTTGGGCCTCGGGGTGCTTCACCTTTGTACCATCTATATTATTACTTGCTTTAATATTTTCCTTTAAATCGTCTAACTGTTGATTTAAAGATATATCTTTTAAAAATTATCTTATCAACTACAAATCGGAAACCAGCATCACTGTCAGACACCGCGAGTAATCATACAAACAAACACGGGGACAAGGAAGCCCTGGTACCAAATGCTGGCTGCTGGCTGTGAACCGGAGGCCGGCTCTTTGTTGAAAAGGGAGACTAGCAAGAGTAAGAGGCAATAAAAACACATCAGCACCCAACGGAGCCTTTCCTCTGACTCCCGAGAAGGAATAAAGGAGACTTGAGAACAGAGTGACTTTTCACCCCATGAGCCCCTGGTGTTTAAAGCAGTTCCCCTGCACCCCCCTGGGCCCGCCCAGCCCCGCACTGAGCCCCCACCCGCTGAGCCCCCACCCTGGTCCGCAGGTGCTGGATCCGGGACTCCCTGGTCAGCCACATCACCAACCTGGGCCTCTTCAGCCTGGTGTTTCTGTTCAACGCGGCCATGATGGCCACGATGGTGGTGCAGATCCTGCGGCTGCACCCGCACACCCAGAAGTGGCCCCACGTGCTGACGCTGCTGGGCCTCAGCCTGGTCCTCGGCCTGCCCTGGGCCCTGGTCTTCTTCTCCTTTGCTTCCGGCACCTTCCAGCTTGTTGTCCTCTACTTCTTCAGCATCATGACCTCCTTCCAAGGTAGGCGTGGCCTGGTGTCGTGGGTGACCGCGGGGTCACGTTGGTGCCGGGAGCCTGTGTTCAGAGGAGGGCAGAGGGCAGGGGGCAGATCTGAGTCGAGGTGACTCCGGGAGGGAGAAGTTGGGGGGATGCCGCCGCCCGCCAGCTGAGCCCCGTGTCCCTCGCCGCCCACAGGCTTCCTCATCTTCCTCTGGTACTGGTCCATGCGGCTGCAGGCCCAGGGCGGGCCCTCCCCTCTGAAGAGCAGCTCGGACAGCACCAGGCTCCCCATCACCTCGGGCAGCACCTCGTCCAGCTGCATCTAGGTCGCCAGCCCGCCACCCGGTGTGAGGGAGCGGCGATGCGGCCTCGCACCACTGCCCGCGCCCCTGCCGCCGGCCCCCGGACCTCAGAGGGCTGGAGCTGTCGCATGGCGGCCGGACTCCCAGGCTGGGCCTTCTGAATTGGCCCTCGGACCACCGGGCTCTTGGCCTCACTCTCAAGGGGCTCAGGAGTGGGACCATCCTCCTGGCAGCCCTCGCCTGGGGCTGAACTCGCCCGCCCTGGGCTCAGCCCTCGTGGCTGGGGGTCGGGAACCGCAGGCCCCGGAGTCAGATGGTGGACCTTGGAGGCCTGGCAGAGGCTTTGGCCTCGTGTCTCTGCCCAGGACAGAAGTGGGCCGTGGCTATCCTGTTTCTGGCGACCACCAGGGGGGTACTCTGCAGCCCCTGTCATTTTAACCCAAGGGTGGCACCCAGGGTGAAAGGGATTGGGGCCGAGCTTCAGACCTCAGCAGGAGGAGACTCCTACCCCCACCCCTACCAGCAGCAGCTGCCCTGCGGCTGAGCTCAGGGCTTTGTGCTCTGTCAGCTTCCCAACCCACCCTCGCCCCTCCCCTGTCCTCCACGCACAGCCCGGGGTCCCCAATTCTAATGGTGTGTTTTGGGCCGTGGTTCCCCAGAGCTGCCCTGTGCCTGCTGTAAACCTTTACCTACTGCACGGGCCTTTGCGGGCCCCTGACTCAGGCTTAGGATAGGTGTTCTGGGCTAGTTCCGTTTGTCCACCTGGGCCTCTCTATAAGCTGCATCACCCTCGTTCACTGCCAAGCCCATACCTCTCGGGGGACCTCAGGCTCCCCAAGGCCCGCTGGTGGTAGGAACCATGGCCCATGGTGGAGTAAGTCTGTTTCCACCCCAGCACTCTGCAGACCGAGGCGTATCTCAGCTGGTGACACTGGCCTAGAGCCCATCGCAGTTCACTCTGCTGGACACAGAGGGTCAGACCTGGTCACCCCCACCCCCCTGTGACCTCTTAGCCTAGTGTGTGAGGCGCGCATGAGACCAGAGCTCCTGAAGCTACAGGCATGGAGTCAGGGGAGCCATCCGCCTGGCGGGAAATCCAGGAAGACTTCCTGCAGGAGGCAGCATTGGATCTGCATCTCAGCCTTACAGATGGGGAGGATTTTCTTTGTAGTTACTAATTCATTTGTCTTTGATATTAAAAAGGAAGTGATATTCATTGTAGAGAATTTGGAAAGCGTAGAAGAGTGTAAAGAAAATAAAAGTCTGCTGTTGTCGTCACCTAACAAATTGATGTAAACATTTTGGGGCGCTGCCCCCGAGTTTTCTTCTCTGCTTCTGTTAAAAGTCACTGATTGGGAAACGTGAATGAGAGAAGAGGACTATGTGTGTGTGTGTGTGGGGGGGGGGGGGCGGAGAAACAAAACTAAACACCTACTGGACAAGGGGAAGGATAAATGGCAACTTGGTGTCAGTGTTGGGAGGCAATAGGGAGCGGTGGGGTCTGTGGTGAACTGGACATGACAAACCCACACCGAGGAGCAGCTGCTCATCTCTAGCCGGTCACTGCCTCGCAGGGATGAGTGTCTGTGTAGCCAGACCACCTGCCTTTGATGAGAAACGAGAAATCCACATTGTGGTGGTGTCACATCCCTGGATTTTAAAATGGTGGCCGATCCAAAAAAATTCGCTGGCCCAGGAAATCACACTTGAGGGCTGAATTCAGCTCTCGGCTGGTCCACGTGATGCGTGTCACCAGTTTCTGGGCCAGTGTGAGGTCCAGGGGCTGCAAGGATGAAATGACTGAACGATTCTCCCATCATCCACCACCCCCAGCCTTGCTCGGCCAAATCTCCCCGCCCCACCCCGTGACACAGGTGAAGCAGATCACACACTGTCCGCGTGAGTTCTGGGAGCAGTCCTGTTTGTTGCTATTCGTCCCAGGCGTTGAAGGCCGGTGCAGGTCCGCCAAGGTCCGCCTCCGAGCTTTCTACCCTCCGCCGTCTCCTCCCTCCGCTTCCAGCTGCCCCGGGAGGTGTGTGTGAGGTGTGCCTGGGACCCTCTGAGGGTTTGGGTGCCAGGACGGGTCTCCGGGGGTGGGCTCAGCAGGTAACAATTCACAGAGCCCTTGTCCAGTGCCGGGGACCTGGGGTGGGTAGGCCGGCAGGCTGCTGGGTGGGGGGAAGGGGCAGGCCCAGTGGTTCCCGTCTGTCCTCCCAGTCTTCCCTGCAGGGGACACGCCTGGGGTCCCCTGCCAGATTCCTGCCTGCCACCACACCCCACAAGTGACCCCGACATGCCCTCCCCAGCCCTCCTCAGGCCCAGAGGGCCCAGCTGGGGACCGAGTCCTGTCCAGACGCCATGGGGGAGGAAGTGGAAATAGAGGCCAGTCGGGGCTGGGCGGGTCCCCATGAGGCCCCCAAAGCAGAGCAGGTCTGGCTCTGGCCTGAGCTGGAGGGGGGACTGATCACATGCACCTCCTTGGCGGGGTGCCCTTTACCTTCTGATCTCAAAGTGGTGGTGGGCCCCTGCCCAGGGCCTTGGCCTCATCCGCAGGCTTCCATGGGGCCACCAGAGTTGGGGACGAAGCGGCCAGCCCCTCCCTTCCTTCATGCCCGACTCCATGTGTGTTTGCTGCCCCGACTTCCTGCCTAGGCCACTGGGTCATGGGACAGTCAGACAATGATAGAGATGATAATGGCCACACAAAGGGACCGAACAATTCACCGGCATCATCTCATGAGATCCCCACGCGCCTCTGAGAGGCTCAGAGGAACGGACAGCTCAGGAAAGCCAGGAAGTGGCCAGGACAGACGTCAGCCCAGGCCTGGCCAATCCCCAGAGCCCATGCTCTTGCCCCCGCCCCCTCCCGGCCTGCCTCTCCTGGTGAGAAAGGGCCCGGACCCCTGGGCTGGCTCCCTCACTTCTCCCAGCCCCCAGCAGGCATGGATTTGAGCCTGGCTTTGTTCGAACCATAGGTACCATAGGCATGAGCAAGAGAGCACACATTCCATCCACGTTGAGCCTCATCCCTGTAGCCAGGCTGTGTGCCCGCGTGTATGGGCCTCCTCAAACTCTGACCCGGTCCTGGGAGGCAGCCCATTGCCGTTTGCTTTACAGAGGAGGAAACAGAGGCTCAGAGAGGCCCCCAGCTTGTGAGGAAGGTCTGAGCTGTGTGTGCCTGACTCCAAAGCCCGTGCTCACCACCACTCCCCAGCGGCCCGCTCTTGTGAGGCCTCTGTGGCCACTGGGCCGCAGCCCCACCGCACCCTCCCAGGCAGGGCCAGGAGCGCGTCCCCCGGTGGGTTCGGCAGCTCCTGCCCAGTCCGGCTCCCTCTGCAGGTGGTCACAGAATGGGGTGAGACGGGAGCACTGCCCAGTTCCCCACACCTTTCACAACCCAACCGATGGCGCCATGGAGCAGGAAGGATTACAAAAAGGCCACAGGAAGCTCTGACGCTGCGGGGGAGGGTGGGGGCCGGAGGGCTCTGCAGAGCCTGGGACCAGAGGATACACAGCCACAGGGCTCCCTCCGGAGTGGACAAGGCTGGCCAAGGATGGTGCCGCCCAGGGCCCTGGGGGCCCTGCTTCTCTCGCTCCTCCTGCTCCTGGCCTCAGGTGAGCGACTGGCTCCTCATCCCCTCCTGCCAAGCCCGGAGACCCCGTGCCAGGGGCGAGGATGGGTAGGGAGGGGGCTTGAGTTAGATGCCATGCTGGTAAACTTTGGTCCTCCGGGCCTCAGGTCGGTGCCCTGGGGATGGAGGGAGCATAGAGAGTGCTCCCCACTACGCCACCTGCACTGTGGCTCCCTGGCAGGCCTGGCCCTGGGACACAGGTGGGCCCTGGGACATAGATGGGCCCTGGGACACGGGTGGCCTGGGACATAGATGGGCTCTGGGACATAGATGGGTTCTGGGACATAGATGGGTTCTGGGACACATGTGGGCCCTGGCACATAGATGGGCCCTGGGACACAGGTGGGCCCTGGGACATAGATGGGCCCTGGGACACGGGTGGGCCTGGGACATAGATGGGCCTGGGACATAGATGGGTTCTGGGACACAGGTGGGCTCTGGGACATGGGTGGGCCCTGGGACATAGATGGGCCCTGGGACACAGGTGGGCCTGGGACATAGATGGGCTCTGGGACATAGATGGGCCTGGGACACAGGTGGGCTCTGGGACACGGGTGGGACTGGGACATAGATGGGCCCTGGGACATGGGTGGCCTGGGACACAGTTGGGCCCTGGACAAGCTCTTCTCCAGCTGGCCTCTGAGCTCTGGGAAGCGGCAGGAGAGCTGTAGAGCCTGAGGCCTGGCAAGGCTCATACCGCCCTCCCACCACCCTCCTCCGCCCCCCCTCCCTGTCCCCACAATGACCCCACAGTTCTCAGGCACCCAAACCAGGAACAAGACTCTTCCGCCCGCTTCACTCTTGGCCTTGCACACATGTGGCCGTTGTCCAGGGGCAGTTTGAAAACCTCAGGTCTTGTCCTTGCTGGTCTCTTTCCCAGGAAAGCTGTGCTCCAGCCCCTGCCCACCTGGCCAGCTCTTATTCATTTCCCTGCTGCCCTGGGAAGTCCATGGTGATCCCTCAGGCAGAGGGGAAAAAACCTACTGCTGGGAGCTTTGTCTGGACAAGGGGGAGGCAACTTGGTGTCAGTGCTGGGGAGGCAGTGGGGAGCGGTGGGGTCTGTGGTGAACTGGATTTGACAAACCCACACCGAGAGGGCAGCTGCTGCTCATCTCCAGCCGGTCGCTGCCTCGCAGGGATGAGAGCCCGTGCAGCCAGGCCACCTGCCTTTGATGAGAAATGAACACCTACAATGGGGTATGTCCTTTATGATCTCTAATCTCCCCCAAAACCCATTGGCCTCATTTGACTGATGAGAAGATTGAGCCTCAGAGAGTTACGTAACTTGTCTGAGGCCACACAGCTTGTATGTGACCCACAGCTTCCTCTCCAGCCCCTGTCCCAGGTGAAAGGGAACGGAACGGGAAGTCATGGAAGCTGGTTGCTAGTCCTGGAGCCATCTCCAGCTAGCTGGTGTCCTTGCCCCAGTCCCTATGCGACAGGGGCCTCAGTTTGCTGTATTCCCTACTCCAGGAGGTCGCCATGAGGGTTGTAATGGAAATGGGGGAGAATGACGCAAACCAAGACCAATACATTCATTAGGCCACAGTTGCAAGGGCTTTGGATGTAAAGTCTGATGTAAAACAACTGCAAAAAGCCAGGCAGACTTCCTGGAGGAGGTGCAAAAGGGTACTATCACTAACATAGTAAACCTTTTATCTACAGAGCCACATGCCCAAGCCCTTTGTACACACTTTCTCCAAAGCATCCCACTGGCCCTGTAAGAAGGGGGGGAGTGAGGGAGGAGGGGAAGGGTATCTCCTTTCACCTTGGACCCGAGGCCCAGGGAAGGTGTGATCCAGCTCAAGTGCACACCATCAGTGTGAATGGGCGGAGCTGGGGTTCCAGCCCACACCACAGACTCTGGAGCCCTTGCTGCCCCTTCACACTCTACGTTCCTCCCTCAGGTGAGAAAGATTTCACGAACAAATCTGAGCAAACAACCCAGATTGAGGAGCCGAGGAACGTCTGCCTGGGGCTCATCAATAAGGACCATTACGAACCCTTCGAACTGATGAGCACTGCGGAGTGCTTCAACAACTGCGCGCAGTCGGGGAGCTCCTCCTGTCATCTGGAAAACTTGCAGAGGTAACAAGGCCCTCTGAGCGGGAGCAGGGATCTGGGGTTCCTGCAGGGGTGGGGAGGAGGGGTGGGACGGAGCTATCAGCCCCCACGACCCCAGAAAATGCTGCTCCCATCTCGCCCTTCCACCTTGTTGTTGGACACGCATATCTCTCTGACCCTGAGGCCCCTCTGACTCAGTGGATACAGAGATAAATCAGCCCCCGTCCCTGCCCTTGGGAGTTGTGAAGGGACAGACACAGGCCCAAACGATGATGACTCCAGAGTGTGGTCCTACAGAAGGGGGAACAAGGGACCAGGTTAGCTCAAAGGGAAAACGTCTGCCAAGGCTTCCTAGAGGAGGGAACCCAGGAAAGGGCTTTGAAGGTTGCATAGGAGTTTTCCAGTTGCACCCAAGCAATGTTAGGAGATACCGGCAACCGAACTTCAGGGAGCATTGAGGAAGAACACCAGTGCTTTGAACTGTGAAAGAATAACATGCTGGCGATGGAAGTAACAATGGGGAGGTGGGGCGGGTTGGGGATAGAACTGAAAATATAAGTCCGGACCAAAATATGAAGGGTTGTATAAGCTACACCAATGTGAGAAGGGGCGGGCCAATGCTGTATTTTGTTTTTTAATATATTTCTATTGATTTCAGGGAGGAAGGGAGAGGGAGAGAGAGATAGAAACATCAGTGATGAGAGAGAATCATTGATTGGCTGCCTCCTGCATGCTGGACCGAGTCGCAACCCAGGCGTGTGCCCTTGACCGGAATCGAACCCGGGACAACTTCGGTCCGCAGGCTAACGCTCTTTCCACTGAGCCAAACCAGCTAGGGCTGTATGTATGTCTTGTCTTTTTATTTTCCTAATGATATCTTTTGAAGATCCAAACATTTACTTTGGATGAAGCCCAATTTAAATTGTGTGTGTGTGTGTGTGTGTGTGTGTGTGTGTGTTTGCTGTCATATCAAAGACATTTCATCTAGCCCAAGGTTGCAAGGATTTTCTCCTAAGTTTTCTTCTACAAGTATATGGTTCTAGCTCTTATAATTAGGTTGTGCATTTGGAGTTAAATTTTTGTGTACAGTGTGAGATAAATGTCTCACTTTACATTATTATTATTACTACTACCTTTACATCTGGATATCTAATGTTTCGGCACCATTTACTGAAAAGACTATGCTTTCTCCACTGAATTGCTTTTGGAGGGCATTCCATTGAAGAGCTAAATGGAGCCTTAGCCGGTTTGGCTCAGTGGATACAGTGTCAGCCTGCGACCAAAGGGTCCCGGGTTTGATTCTAGTCAAGGCATGTACTTTGGCTGCAGGCTCCTCCCCGGCCCAGGCCCTGGTCAGGGCGTGTGCAGGAGGCAACCAATCAATGTGTTTCTCTCACATCGATGTTGATGTTTCTCTCCATCTTTCCCTCTCCAACTCTCTCTTTAAAAAAAAAAATCAATGGAAAAATATCCTCGGGGGAGGATTAACAACAAAATAACCCCCCAAAATCAAACAATGAAAGGGTTCAGTGGAAGCTCCTGGAATGTCTTCTCCCAAGCTGGTAACCCAGAAACGAAGCTACACCCCTGCAGAAAGCAATGCCCCTGTGACAGATTTGAAAGAAGCAGGGGTGGCAATACCTGTTCCAACTCCATTGACCTCTCTGAGTCAGGCGGGTCTTGGAGGATGGCTGCGGACCAGCATGAACTTAATCGCCTGGCGAGTCCAATGACAGCTGATGTCCCAGACGGATGTGTTCACTTGAACAAATCAACACAGCCCCTGGCAATGGATACCCAGCTATTACCCGGTGAATACTTTCTCCTCCGTACCAGTTCATAAGGACCTGGCAGAGCCAACAGTATTCTGTCGCGGTGTTTCCTCGGGGCTGTGTCAGTTCCCCTCCTTGCTGTCATCATATACTTCACAGAGACCTTATTGATCTTGACATTCAGCAAAGCTTCACTAGCCCACATTATGCTGATTAGATTTGAGGAGCAGAAAGTGACATGTACTTAAGACGCCTGAGGAAGACATAAGTGAACTAGAGGATGGGAGATAAAGCCCGCAAGAATTCAGGGGCCCATCATCTCATTGCGTTTTCTGGGCATTCGGATGTCTGGAGAATGGCAAGGTGTCCCCTCCAACGTAAAAGGCGAGTTGTTTAATGTCACACCACTTAACCACGAAAAAACAACCACCAGCAGGCACAATGTGGAAAGATATGTATTCGACAAACATGAAACTAAAGGAATCTAAGTAGCTATACTAGTATCAGGCAGGCAAGATGGTACTTAAGTGGGTGTCGATGTTGTAATTAAAAATTCATTGGTACAGCGATGCTTTAGACTTTTTGAATATGTTACATTTCACACCTAAAATAATTTTTTAAGTGCTCTGAGAAGCAGATGAGGAAATATTTCCTTGAGAAAGCAAATGGGGCTGTTTTATGAGGCCACGGAATTTTTTTTTAAGTGCATGAGGTGAAATATATAATGAAATACAATTCACGATTTTATTCGGTAATCATGACAATTGCAATACTTCTTTTTAAAAATATTTTTATTTATTTTATTGATTTCAGAGAGGAAGGAAGAAGGAGAGAGAGATAGAAACATCAATGATGAGAGAGAATCATTGACCGGCTGCCTCTTGCACGCCCCCCACTGGGGATCAAGCCTGCAACCTGGGCATGTGCTCTTGACTGGAATCGAACCTGGGACCCTTTAGTCTGCAGGCTAACGCTCTATCCACTGAGCCAAACAGGCTAGGGCCTCAATACTTCTTTGTTTCCATTTTTAAAAGGTAAACAAAAGCTAGACTCAGTTGACATGGCTCAATCCATGGGTTTGGACAGCCTCGCCCCACTGCCTCTGGCTTGATGGTGTTCTAATTGCCTGCTACACTCAAGCACATTTGCACATCTCTGCCTGGCTTACTCTTTACATTACACAATATTTTTTCTGTGGTTTCTTGGGGGGTGGTTTGCCTTGGTAACTGTGAGCGTTCAAAAATGATGTCAAAATAAGAGCCTCCTTTTGTGTTCCTGGCAAGCCCTCCATAGCTACTCCTTTCCAACAGCCTTGATCTGGCTGTATCTTCCCCCCACCCCTACCCCTCCCTTCCCATTGCTGTCTCAGGCCTAGCCTGAGCAGCAGATCTTAAGACCCTAGGTTTAAAACAACCACCTGGCGTGCATTGAAGTTTCAGTACCACGGAGAGCGCCACAGACTGGCCTCACCTTGCTGTTTTAGCGGAGGCCAGGGAGCTGTGGTGAAATAACTGCCAATTAACTTCTATGTTCTGTGAGGTTCAACAGCAGCTCAGGTCCCATAGGTCAGTTTCCACACAGCTCCGTCCTCAAAGACCGAATTCCCGGTATGCAGTGAGTACTCAATAGATGTGAGGAGGTGCTCACCCACGCCACGCAATTACCATCCCGCAGTTGAAAAGGCTCAGAGGAATTTCTCCAAAGCAGATATGGGAAGACCAGCACGCATATAAAAAGATGCTCAACATCATTATACATCAGGGAAATGCAAATTCAAACCACAATGAGATGCCACTTTATACCTACCATGAGGAGCAAAACGAAAAATAAGTATTGGCAAGTACATGAGGAAATCGGTGCCTACCTCGTTGGCGGGAATGCGAAATGGTGCAGGTTGTGGAAAACAGCCTGACAAATCCTCAGAAAGTTAAGCAAAGCATTACCACCGGCTTCACTCCTATGTTGGTACCCAAAAGGACGGAAAACAAACCCTCAAACAAAAGCTTGTCTGTGAATGTTCATAGCAGCCCTGGTCACAATAGCCCAAGCATGGAAACGGCCCAAATGTCCATCAATGGGTAAATGGATAAACAAAATGTGGTATATCCGTACAATGAGATATTATTCGCCCATAAAGAAGGAATGAAATACTTGTACAAGCTGCAACATGGATGACCCTTGAAGACACGATGCTAACTAAGTAAAAGAAGCCAGGCACAAAAGGTCAGGTGCCATCTAATTCCATTTATAGGAAATATCCGGAATTGGCAAATGTATCGAGACGGTAACCAGATTAGTGGTTGCCAGGGGCTAGGGGAGGAGGGAAGATAGTGACTGCTTAATGGGTATGGGGTGATGCATTGTACACCTTAGAAAAATATTTTTATTGATTTCAGAGAGGAAGGGAGAGAGAGAGAGAGAGAGAGAGAGAGAGAGAGAGAGAGAGAATGAGAGAGAGAGATCAATGATGACAGAGAGTCATTGATCGGCTGCTTCCTGCACTCCCTACATCGGAAATCAAGCCCACAACCTGGACATGTGCCCTGACTGGGAGTCAAACCATGACCTTCTGGTTCATAGGTCCACGTACACTTTAAAGTAGTTAAATGATGTGTTTTATGTTATATGGAAGTTTTTACAAAAAGACAAACATGTGAAATACTCAGAGGGACTGCTGGCTGGAATCCCTCGGACAAGCTTGGGCTGTTCCTCGGCGCTCCCAGGGTCTTCCCGTGCTATTCGGAGCCACCCCTCCCGCCCCAAGAGCCTGATGATCATGGCCCATGGTCTCTCTCCTCCTTTCATCCAGGTTGGGGACCAGGTGAGTGGGGGGCTCAGCTGGCAAGGCCCCACATTGCCCCTGCCCCCGGCCCCTTGCAGATACTGGCTGGACTACGAGACCTACCTGGTGGAGAGGAGGCTGAGTGGGACGGTGGATTTGCCTTTTCTGAAGGCTTTTGTCAAGAACGTCAGCACCAGCATCGCAGAAGACCTGCACTTCTCTCTGAACCTCTCTCAGGTGAAGCGTCCCCGCCCCTGCTGGCTGGCTCTGGCCGGTTTCCTCAGGCATGGCTTTCGGAATTCTGCGGGAGTCACGGTCGGGGCTTGGTGCCCAGCAAAACCTAGCCCTCCTGTATCCCTGCAGGGCCCCTCCGCCTTGCTAATGGGTGCTGGTGAGTTTAGTGGATGAGTGGGTCCCAGTAACAGATTGTCCAGATTTCTAGGACGAGACCCCTGGAAGGTCTCCTTGTTACCCCCATTCTCCGGATTGGGAAAACTGAGGCCCCGTGAGTGTCCAGGGGCTCACAGCCTGGACAGAGCAGAGCTGGGGCTGTGCCCCCAATGTCCTGCCTCTCAGAGCGAAAGTCCTCAGGTGCCGCCTCTCCACCTGGCGTGCCTCCGTTTCCCTCCCCCCTGGGGGAGTGGCAGGACCTGTGTTGGGGGCTGGAATCCTTGGGTCGAGAAGGAGCCACTGGGTCTGTGGTTACAGATTCCGGGGCAGGTGACGGAGGACAAGCACCAGTTCCCCGCCAGAGTCCGGCTGCCCAGGAGCCTGTTCGCCTCCCTGCAGGGCAGCCGGCCGGTGGTGCCCTTGGCCGTATCTGTGCTGGACATTGGCCCGGGGAACCTCTTCAAGGTGAGACGCTGGGTGGAGGGCAGGGCAGCTCTGAGGCTCCCCAGCCAATGCTCATCCTCTTCCTCGAGGAACCCCCTGGCGATGGAGAAGGCGAAGAGCCTCTGCAGCTCACGGCCACCCCAGACCTGTCTCTAGAGCCTGTGGCTTTCAGGCTCACACTGGTCCACACACTCAGATATTCGGACCCCACATACCAGTGACCTTGGACTGTACGTGTATCCCAAGTGTGCCCGTGTCCCTGTGGGTCCCTGTGCATGCACACACATGCATGTCTTTCCTGTTCCTGGTACACACACAGTCCACATGAGCGAGTGTGCCCGTACCCATGCAGGCGTGTCCCATGGGTGTCCCAGAGGCATATATGTGCTCCCATGCAGACGTGTGCATGCCCAGTGCTGGTGCGGTCAGGGCCTTCAGTGGTGGGGTACTTACCCCCGTAGGCACCCACTGCCCCCCATTTCTGGGCTGATGTTTCTCCTGGCCCCGTGCCCCTCCAGTTAAGAGGCAGAGGAGTCTGGAGGCCAGGCGTGGAGAGCGGTGGGTGCCTGGCTTTGTGACCAGCCCGAGCAGGAGGCCATAGGGAGCAGCAGGGAGAATGTGACCCCTGGCCCCTTGGTCCTCTGGCCCCTGGTCCAGACTTTGCCCTCCAGGCAAGGACCCTGGGTCCTGGAGGCTCCCAGGAACCCTGCCACGGCTGAGTTGAGACAGCCCTTCTGCAGCCTGGCCCCCCATCTCCCTCCACAGGGCCCCCAGCTCAGCCTGGAGGACGAGGGCAGCGTGTTGAACAACCGCCTGGTGGGCTTGAGTTTGGGCCGGATGCGAGTCACGGCGCTGCCGGAGCCTGTGGAGATCACCTTCTCGCACCCGCGCCAGCCTCCGGTGAGCCCCCGCCCAGGCCGGCAGTGACACAGGGGCAGACAGGCGGGTGGGCACCCCTGGGCACACGGACAGACAAGCACAGGACTCCGCACTGTCCACCCTCCACATCCACCTAGGAGAAGCCGTTAGGACCGCACACACAGCTGTGCCCAGGGATGCACGTGCTCACAGAGGTGCACACCGGACCTGGCACACCCACATGCATGCACACGGCATTACACACCCACCCACAGACATGCAACCCTCCCACCCACAGCCCGTCACCATACCCAGGCCCCTCATGTGCCGATCCAGGGGCCATCAACGGTGTGGCCCACCTTCCTATGTGACCACGATGTTCCTGTGTGAGCCTTGCACACACATGCTTGGAGGAGGGAGCATGCAGTCCTCTCCCTCCCCTCCCACGCCCTTCTCTCCCCTCTCCCAGCCTCCCCCTGCCTCTCTCCTGATTCCCATTCTCTGGTTTCAGAACATGACCCTCACCTGTGTATTCTGGGATGTGACTAAAGGTAGGGCCTGGAGGACCTCCTCTGGGTGAGACAGGTGGGGGGAGTATGGACTCCCTTCCCGGTGCAGGCCCCTCCCCTCTTCTCCCTCCTCTTTGTTCCCCTCCCCCCTCTCTGGTCACTCCTCTTCCTTCTCCCCTCCCTCCCCTCCCGATGGTCTTCTCCCTCCTCTCCAGGGTCAACAGGAGACTGGTCTTCGGAGGGCTGCTCCACGGAGCCCGGAGCGCAGGCGACAGTCTGCCGCTGTGACCACCTGACCTTCTTCGCCCTGCTGCTGGTAACACCCTCCCCACCCCCAGCGTGTCTGGAGGGGCCCAGCCTCCTGTCCTGGGAGGGGGCTTCCTGGCAGGGGCCTTGGCCTTTGGGGGTAGGTGGGCCTGGCCGCCAGCTGATGGGGTCCTGGTTGGGGGTGTTGCCCACAGAGGCCGACCCTGGACAAGGCCACCGTGCGGACCCTGGTGCGAATCTCCCAGGTCGGCTGTGGCGCCTCCATGGTTTTCCTGGCCTTCACCATTGTCTTCTACGTGACCCTGAGGTGGGTGACCCATCCCCACGCCCTCCTGTCCTCAAAGGCAGCACACGGTGCCGGGCCAAAGGCACCCTGGTCGTGCAAAATCATATGGACATCCTCTCCAAACCTCAGTGTCCTCATCCGTAAAATAGGGCCGGAGGTTGCCATGTGTTGGGTCATTTCAGTTACAAGTGGCAGAGACTCAAAGCCCATGAGCTTAAACATCCTAAGGAGTGTGGGGGCCAGGTCATGGAAAGACCCCAGTGAGCTCACGGCAGGTGCGGTTCGATCCAGGACCAGGTCTCCGGGAGCCGGTCTCCCTCTGCTTCTCATACTTCGCTCTCTCCTGTCAATCGTATCCGGCAGCTTCTCCACCCCCAGGGGCCTCAGGGAGCCCAGGCTTGCATGACGGGCTCTCAGCTGTCCTGACGGTTAACATCGTACACGGAGCCCCAGAACTGAAGTCTTTCAAATATTTTTAAACAATTATGTAGCCCGACCGGCGTGGCTCAGTGGTTGAGTGTTGACATATGAACCAGGAGGTCAGGGCTCGATTCCCAGTCAGGACACAAGCCCGGGTTGCGGGCTCGGTCCCCCAGTGGGGGGCGTGCAGGAGGCAGCCGACCAATGGTTCTCTCTCATCATTGATGAATCCTCTCTCTCTCCCTCTTCCTTCCCCTCTGAAATCAATAAAAATATCTTTACAAATAAATAAATAAATATAGACTAGCAGGAAGTGGTGAACACAGCGCATAGAGTCCCCTGCTTTCTTCACCCAGCTTTCCCCAAAGATGGCATTTTCTATCCTCCTAGTACCATCTCAAAACCAGGCACGGACAGCAGAATGCACCCAGGAAATGGAAAGTTATGCCGTTGGGCTGAAGCATCGAGTTGAGGGAGGGAGGAGACCGGCAGGATCCGGGTGGCCATGGGAGGGCTCCTGGACCCGGAACCGGAGGGCCCTCACTCTGGGCGCTGGCAGGGCCGGAGCAGAAGGAGGTGGACAGCCTCTCGCTGGCCCTCTCCCCCAGGTTCTCCTGGAAGAGGTTCAAGTCAGAAGATGCCCCTAAAGATCCACGTGGCCCTGAGCGTCAGCCTGTTTCTCGTGAACCTAGTCTTCTTCATCGATGTGGGGCATGGCCCACAGGGGACCCATGCTGCCTGCGTGGCCCGGGGGGCCATCTTCCACTACTTCCTGCTCTGTGTCTTCACCTGGATGGTGCTGGAATCCTTCCACCTCTACCTGCTCGTCATCAGGGTCTTCAACACCTACTTCGGGCACTACTTCCTGAAGCTGAGCCTCGTGGGCTGGGGTAGGTGTGGCCGGGCTGGGCAGAGGGGCTGGCTCCGGGGTGTGCGTCCCAGCAATGCCGTGCCTCCTCCCCCGCCCAGGCCTACCAGTCCTCATGGTCATCGGCACCGGGAGTGCCAACAGCTACGGCCTCTACACCATCCAAGACCAGGACAACAGGACCACACTGGAGCTGTGAGTGGTGGCTGTGGGAGCAGGAGTGACGCCAGGTCCCTGGCTGCACATATGGAGGCCAGAGGGAGGTGGGGAGAGGAGAGACCCAGGAAATCAAGGCGAAGGATCCTCCGATCCGCAGGGGTAAACTGAGGCCTGGAGAGAGGATATGCAGTGAGCGAGGGGTCCTGAGAAGGAGGAGAGAGACCCGGAGCAGGAGGCGGGACGCCTTGCCCTAGCCTGGTCCACCACCAGCCCATCTGGCACTTGGGGACATGTTTTGTTTTGTTTTTTAATGATTTTTTACAGAGAGGAAGGGAGCGGGATAGAGAGTTAGAAACATCGATGAGAGAGAAACATCGATCAGTTGCCTCCTGCACACCCCCTACTGGGGATGTGCCCCCAACCAAGGTACATGCCCTTGACCGGTATCGAACCTGGGACCCTTCAGCCCACAGACTGACGCTCTATCCACTGAGCCAAACCGGTTGGGGCTGGGGACATGTTTTTAAAAGTGCCCCCTACCCCCAATCTGACAGGCCAGGCGCTCAGCTGGGTTTCAGCCCCCACCTGCCCCCGCAGCCAGGTGCCCTTGCGCAGGGCACAACCTGCTGACGTATCCCAGCAGCTCTGGTCCTGTCTGGGCTCTGCCTCTGCGTTGCTGTGTGACTTTGGGCCAGCTCGTCCTCTCTCTGGGCCTCAGTCTCCTCATCTGTACAATGGGGTGGAGGGCGGACAGACATGCTCTTTTGGGCTTTCACCCCTGCAGTGCAGGGAGCACTGGGGCAGAGCCAAGCCCCTCCCAGGGCGTCTGTCTTGGGCCCATGGCTCTGTGCTAAGAGGGGCTGGTCATTCCCCTGGACTCAAATGCAGGGCCACAGGGTAGACCATAAGATAAGTGCATGTGGCAGCCCAGGGGGGAGGGGGACTGCATTAGACTGGCGGTCACACACTGTCTAATGGGCAGCTGCCAGGCACGTGTGTTGTTATTTTTTTGTTGTTGTTTTTTTGAGTGTGTGGTGTATTTTTTATTGTTTAAAGTATTACATGTATCTCCTTTTTCCCGATTGACCCCTCCTCCCCCTGCCCCAGGCATGTGGTTTTACAACAGAAGCAGAAATCTGGGTGCTTATGCCAAACCTCCTACTTTTTAAACGATGGTTATTAATTCTTTTTTTTTTTTTACAACATCATGTGGGGCATATCTTTTTTACAACATATCTTTGGGGCCCAATGGACCCTTTTGTACCCACTAGTCTAAAGAGACAGCAGAACCCTAGCTGGTTTGGCTCAGTGGATAGAGTGCCGGCCTGTGGACTCCAGGGACCCAGGTTCGATTCCAGTCAAGCGCACAGTGGGAGGCGTGCAGGAGGCAGCTGATCAGTGATTCTCTCTCATCACTGATGTTCTATCTCTCTCTCCTTCTCCTTTCCTCTCTGAAATCAATAAAAATATATTTAAAAATGAAAATAAAATAAAAAAGAGACACCAGACCGGAGCCTCCCAAGAGCCCCTCCCCCAGGAGAGGGGGTTGCTGGGTGGAGACGGGAAGGGCGTCTTCTTGGTCGCTGAAGGTCAGTCTGGGGAGACTGCCCAGGGCTCGCTGGTCAGGAGGACCTGGCCCCGTCCCAATGGTCACCCACCTCCACCAGGTGCTGGTTCCGGGAGAAAACTGCCCTCTACGCCACCGTCCACGGCTACTTCCTCGTCACCTTCCTGTTCAGCGCTGTGGTGCTGGGCCTGCTGGCCTGGAAGATCTTCACTCTGTCGAGTGCCACGGCCGGCAAGGAGCAGCGGCAGCACTGGAAGGGGGTCCTCACCTTGCTGGGCCTCTCGAGCCTGGTGGGCACTACCTGGGGGCTGGCCATCCTCACGCCGCTGGGCCTGTCCACCATCTACATCTTCGCAGTGTTCAACTCCTTACAAGGTGAGGCTCCTGGGCCCGGGAGGTGGCGGCTGCCCCGTCCGCACCCGGGGCGGGAGGCTGGGATGGGAGGCAGGGAGAGAGTGGTTGGCGGGAAACAGGATTCCATGAGGCCAGCTCAGGTCAGGGCTGCTGACTGTAAATATCCGACCCAGGCCTCTCCCCAGACCCTCGGGCCAGAAAGGCTGGCTGGCCTCAGGGGAGCTGCTGCCAGGCTCAGGAAAAGCCTCCAAAGCAAAGCGGATACTTTCTCCATCTTTCTCTCTGGAGCCACGTGCATGCTCTCACCTTCTTCTCTCTCCGCTGGCCCATTCCTACCCGTGGCCCCCAATATAGTCACCTCAACCCCAGATGACCTGCCAAGTCTAGTGACGACGGTCTGATTAGGTCTCTTCCAGTTCGTAGGAGTGTCAAGGATCTGATGGGGCCACCTTAGAAAGATAGAAACATCAGTGATGAGAGAGATTCATGGATCGGTGGCCTCCTGCACACCCCACACTGAGGATGGAACCCGGGCATGTGCCCCGACCAGGAATCGAACCGTGATCTCCTGGTTCATAGGTTGACGCTCAACCACCGAGCCACGCCAGCCGGGCACCCTTCATATTTAAACCTGAACTCCAAGATGCCTTTTCGATTCTTTTTCCGGTTTCATTTTTGCCCCATTTCCCCGTAAATTCTTGAACTTTTACGAGGGGGCTATTTCTCCTTTGGGCAGCCGCCGCCAGGCCGCCCAGCCCCCTGTCCCCACCCCACCCCCTCACTCCGGGCTCCCCCCTGCCCTCTCCTCCGCAGGTGTCTTCATCTTCTGCTGGTTCACCGTCCTCTACTTCCCGAGCCAGACCACCGTGTCCTCCTCCTCCGGCACCGCCCGGGCTGAGCAGACCCACACGGCGTCGCAATGACAGGACTCGGCTCTGACCCGCTGTGTGCACCTGGACAGCTCCCGGCCTCCCTCTGGGCCTCGGTCTCCACGTCTGTACAGTGTGGCTGCGGAGGGAGGGGGAGGGACGGGGCGAACCACATGATCTCAGAGGTCCCACCCAGATCGGCTCTGGTATCAGAATCCCCCAATCCAGGACTGCAGGGGCTCAAGGTTCCCATAACCCTGAGCCTCCTACCAGCACAGAACAGCACCCTCACCCCTGCCGCTCTGCACACCCCCCCCCCCCCTGCCTTCATAGAGAAGCAGCCTATCTGCCATTGCCCCCCGTCTGGTCGCAGTAAGAGGGGAGTCAGTTGCTGGCACAGCCCCTCCAAGGAGCCCAGCCTCCCCTTCCTCCCTGTTGTCACTGCCTCTCCACCCGCTGGCTCCCCTGCCCGTGGTGAGGGGGCATTTAGGAGGCGTCAGCCCCTCAGGCACCAGGTAGTTGTGAACTGGAGGTTTGTTTGGGGGGTTGGTCCCCCAGCCCACCGGGTCTCGGCCAGTCCCACCATGGCCTATTATCACAGAAGAACCCCCACCATTTGGGGGGGCTGCCAGCCCTTCAGGTGCCAGGACACTGACATTCAGAGAATGCCACTCAGTGGGTGACACCCCCAGCAAGGCCCCTGTTCCCATTCTGACTGCCATGTGGGTGGCTTGACCTCTGACCTGCTGTCACGGTAGGGGTCACGGTGGGGGTCACAGTGGGCTGGAGGTGCAGGGTAGGGGAGGAGGCTGGGCTGAGCAGAGAGAGGAAGCACATCCCCCAGCCTCCCCCCACCCCCCACCCCCGCACACCCCACCGGGAATCTGAGCACCTACAGCTACAGAGCAGGCGCTTTGCCGCCTCACTAGCCCCGTCAGCCCAGCCCTGGTGCGTCTGGGGCCCTGAGCAGATATCCGCTGTCTAATAGGTGGATGTGTGAGCTTGGCAGCAGCCTGACAGCCCTGAGCCAGGGGTGTGTCCCAGGCCAGACCCTGCTTCCAGCAGCTGGACCTCTGGGTCACAAGCAACCGCATGCTGTTTCCTCCATAGGAAACAAAAGGAGGCAGATAATAGAGATGGAGGAAGAGATAGAGATAGAGCTAGAGAGAGAGAATTAACAGATGAGCCATTGTGAAGGGAGAGATCAGAGAGGGACAGATGGAGAGACACAGCCCGCCTCCCCACACCCGCTTCCCCAGCCTGCGGACAGGAGGGCAGAGGCCTGGGACGGTCCCCCTCCCTGAGCCCCATCTCCACCATCCCGTTCCCGCCCCAGCCTTGCTTACTAACCAGCGGGGAATGCACCCCTCCCCACCCGCACCTGGCCCCGGGGGCTTTGCAGCCGGTCAGGCACATTCTACAGATGAGAAATTAGTCCAGTGAGACCCTCCCCACGGCCCCGGGGCTGCCGGCCTGCCAGATGCCAAGTCAGGACCAGCAACAGATGAAAGACAGGAAGGGGGGGCCCTATTTTAAGCAAGTCACCGTGTCCTGGAAGGGAATCCTGGGGCGTGGACATCACGGCAGCTGAGCCACAGGCTTCGGTTTTGTGCACACACTTGGTGGGGCTGGGGTTTATCCTCACAGACCTATGATTCTCAAGCCAAGGATCTCAGCTCCCTCCCCCCAACCTGCGCTCAGGAAGAGCAGAGGGACGCCAGGGTCTGAGGGCCTGGGTTCAAATCCCGCCTCTGCTACGAAGGGGCCGTGTGGCCCTGCGCATGTCACCGCGCCCGCTTCCTGCTCCGTAAAATTGAGATCGAGTCCTTGCCTCGTCCTGAGAGCACTAAGTGAGGTGACGAAGTCCAGTGCCCCGCACGATTCAGGGGGAGGTAGTTGGCTCCCCGAGACCCCCTTCCTTGGCTTGAAGAGAAACCAGGTGGAGCCCTTGTGTAAAGCCTGTATGTGAACTAGGAGGTCCGGGGTCCCGCTGTGAAGGTTAAGGCTCCCTTCCAGATTCCTTCTCAGCTCTGCCAAGTGCACAGCCCCGTGTGGGGACGAGGCATGGAGGCCCCGAGAGGCCCAGCAACCTGCCAAGGACCAGTTCCTCACCCGCTGAACCTGTAAGGCAGGGGTGGCAGCAGCTGCCCCACAGGGTTAATGAAGGATTAAATGAGACACTGGCTGGGAGGGCTGCCTGGTGCCCGGCCCGCCTGGTCCCACAGGAATGTGACTGGGCCACTGGGCCAGAACTTGGCCTTGGCCATCACCTTATCAGGCCCTGGGCTGCAGGGCTCATTGGGGTGCTGCAGGATGGGCCCCCCCGCATCACCACCATGGCTCCCTGGTTCTCTCCACTCTACCCCAATTTATTTACTCCTAGTATGTTTTTATTACAATGTAACAAATATACAGGAAATTAGAAGACCTACTTATTCTGTGCTCTCTGTTAGATAATATCAAAAGACAAAAATTATTCACAAATTAACCTAGGAATACAATGCAACTTCAATAAAGATTCCAACTGATTCTTTATGACTTTTAAAAAGTTATTCTAAAATTTATATGGAGGCATTTAGGCCTCACATAGCTAAGTCAACCTTAATGAAAGAGGGCATAGAAGGAAGACTTGAACTACAGGTTCTTTAAGAAATTATTACAAGACCATAATGATAAATCCAATATGGGGTTTGTGCAGGGATAGGCATGAAGACCAGTGGAACAGAATAGAGGGCTCAGTGGCAGACTCGTGTACACTTAGGAGACATAATACATGACTAAAGTGGCATCACCAAGAAGGATGAATGATCCGATGATGGCTTTGGCAAGTTGGCTCATTATATGGAGAAAAATAAGACAGAATCTCTCCCTAACCCCTCAGAATTTGGACTAGGCTGGCTGACCCCGGGGGTGGGCTTCAGGCAGATTCAAGGTCTACATGGGATGCCAAAATTATGACGTTAATGTAGGAACATATTTTGCAACCGAAGGGCAAAGAAGGACTTCTCAAGCAGAAATTCATAAGCACAAAACATCAGACTCAAACCTGGCAAATTTAATCACATCAAAGTTAAGGTTTTCTGCTTAATGAAGGACACCCAGGGATATATTAGAAGACACGGGACAGAATACGGGAAGATATTTGCAACATCGAAAACCAGAGAGGAACATCTGGAAGTCCTGCCAATCGGAATAAGGACGTCCCCAGCAAAGAGAAATGGGCTGAAGTCTTAAGGGACAATTCAAGAGAAGGAAACACCTAAAACGAACACATTAGACATCAAGACACGTTTAAAAGCACAAGAGACACACGTTTAATAGGGATACCGGAAACTGGCAAACGTTAGGAAGCCAGATAATACCAACCGCTGGCAGGCGCAGGATTCTAGGCTCCCTCACGCCTTGCAAAAGGTGGGGAGAGGGTAGGTTTCAACTGCCTGGAGAAAAACGGGGTGCTGCTGTTCTCCCAGGTCTCAAAGGGACAGGCCCACAGCTTGTGTGGCACTGTCCGTCGTGGAAGGGAGTTGGTCCATCCCTGTGAGAGCAGAGAGGTTATTCATGTGGATCCGTGCCGTGGACACACAGCAACACAGATGGGTCTTGAACAAAGTGAAAATAAAAGAAGCAGGAGGTCTGAATGCAATATCATTTACACAAATTAAAAACAGCAGCGTGCAAAATAATGCTCATTTGGGTGGAAAGAAAAACACCCAACAGAAAGGTTGCCTATCAGGAGCAAGGAATGGGAGTGGGTGTGGGGATAAAGGGAAGTCAATAAATATACAGAAAAAATGAGATGGTGCATGGGGGGGAGGAGAAAGAAGCCTATCTATGTTCCATCCGCTAGCCCAACACGTCACTGGCTTCCCGCTTCCTCGTCCCTCCAGCCTTCACCCCGGTGAGTTCCCCATGGAGCTAATCGAGGGGTGCGCACCAGGACTGATGTCCACACGCGGTCTCCTGAGCTTCCCCTCCGTCTAATTTATCCTGCACATATTATTTTCCATGACTGCATACTGTTCCAACTGGAAGAAAATAATCCTTCTTTACTGTTGAGAATTGAGGTCAGCCCTACCTTTCAACCAGTAACAGCAACTATATCTCCTTGTCAGGAAGGCTGCAGTGTCTCCCCAGTAGTTCACCCCCAAACCTCCACAGGGCCGCATTGTGACTTTTGTGGGTCCCTTTTTCTCCAAAAACAGAAACAGGAAAAGTTTTAACAATGGCTGTGCTTTTCAACTGGCTCGCCAACATTCCTGAAATGTTAAGACCAGCTCTTGCGAGCTGGCATAGGCTGGTTCCAGCCCACCGCTGGCCAAGGAACCTGCAGCCCAGGGCTTCCTCGCCCAGCCCTGGGTAGTGACAGAAGACTACATTTCCCAGAAGCCTCCTCTCCCAGGAAGGCCCTCCGCTTCAGAAAGCCGTTACTATGGAGACAGACTAAACAGATAGTACAGGCTGTCCTAGGAGGGTGAGAGGGGAGTAGGGGACTGAGGGAGGCTGGACCCTGCCTGGCAGGGAGGGTGGGGGAAGGTGCTGGTGGTAAAGGGGCTTCTTCAGCCCTGACCTCTCTGGGGGTTTTCACTGTGTGTGTGTGGTGGGGGGAGGGCGGGGGGTGGAGGCAGGAGGGGGTGGTGTTGGGGAAGAAGAGGTTGCTTCTGGGGAGGGTGTAGAAAATGACCTGAGGGATGGGGAACGCTTCTGGGCCCCTGGGCAGGGTCCAGGGCACTTTGAGGCCGGAATGCCCTCTCCAAACTGCACTGTGGCTGGCGAGGCGGCCTGATATGGGGAAGGAAGTATTACCGGTTCTGATCCAGCTCTGCCTCTGATGACAGTGTTCTGTGACCGTGGGCTTAGGCCCCATCTTAGCTCCTGCTCTAGCTATAAGCCCCTGCTGCCCACCGACACCTTGGCCCTTTCCTCATCCTGATTCTTTCTTTACTTACCATTCTCCCCCCACCCCGCCGCCGCACCCCGCACACTCTTCTGGGATTTCCCCATCTCATTTAGGCCCTAAAGTGCATGGATTTCAGAAATATACCCAGATCGGCTATTTACTAGCTCTGTGACCTTAGGCTGTGCTCTTAACCTCTCTAGGCCTCAATTTTTTCATCTGCAAAGTGGGTATCATAATAGTGTCGGCCTCGCAGAGTCATTGGAGGATAAATGAGCTTATCTCTGTAAAACCCTTAGTTTGCATGGGAAACTGTAAACACCTGATTATTATCGCCGTCTCTGAGCTCATCGTCTCTGTGTCCAAGAAGCAGACAGGGCTGTGTTGCTTGGCTGCTGGGCTCAGTGGGAGGTTCGCCTGCAGGGAACTGGGGTCTTGAACGGGCCTGATGGACACAGGGCCTCAGGTGTGATATTGGCCCCCCGGGATTCAGGTGGGTTGACCTCCGGAAAAGCAGCAGACGCGTTCAGCCCTTCCGGAGCCCTACAGAATGTCAGACCTGGATGGAAAACACCTGTCCCTCCTTTCATAGTACGAAGGGGAAACTGAGGCCCAGAAAGGGGCAGGGAATGGTTCAAGGGCCCTGCAGGAGCTGGGAGCAGAGCCTGGCTTTCCCCTCACAGCTGGTGGTCAGTGACTTGCCTCCCCAAGAGGACCAGTGGGGGTTGGATCAGGGAAGTGGGGCCCAGCCTTTACCTCCAGGTCCCTTTGCCCTCCTGGCCCTGGTCACCCCAGGGGGTGATGACAAGTCTGGGGAGACCTTGCTCTGTTCTCCCCAGTCCTCACTACCCCTCCACCACCACATTCTGTGCATTGGGTCGGTTTTCCTCCTCTGTGGATGTTTGCCCTGTGTGTTGTTAAAAAAAAAAAAGATCTTTGAGGTGGGGTAATGGAAAGCCATGAGCTGGGAGGCGGGCGCTGAGATGGCATAACAGGAACTGGCTTAAACGAGCAGAGGCTGTTTCCTCACATGTTGGGAAGTCCAAAGGTGCTACTCAGACCTCACGGCGCCTCTTGGGATCATGGCTCCCCTGCCTCTTCACTCTGGCAGCTTTGTTCCCCAGGAGTGGTTATCTCACGGCCATGCATTGGCCGTCCCCCTGCTTTCTGACCCTGTCCCAGGCAGGAAGAGGAGAAGGGCCAAGCGTCTGTGCCAGCTGGGCTCCCCCCTTTAACAGGTAGCAACTTGGACTCACATCTCAGCGGCCAAAACTGGGTTCAAATCGCAGGGCTGACGCTAGCTGCAAGGGAGGCTGGGAAGCTGAATATTTTAAATCGGGGCTCTGCTTATGGAATTGGGGGCTGGATCTTTGGGTTGGCAAGTAGCAGTCCACTTTGGCAAACCTTGGCTCTGGGACCATGGGAAGGCCTTTCCCAGGGTACATATGGCGTCTCCGATGGCTCTCAAATGACCTCATCCTATGGGCTGACCCAGGGGAGTGAAAGCTGTATCAGCTCCCCGCACACACACCTGCCCCTGGCCCAGGTGAATTGGTGGCAGCCCTGCTTTTGCCCCCTCTGTGCCTCAGTTCCAATTCTAGTGACATTAACTTTTATTTTGTTATATTCCATACCATCACCTTACTATCATGAATAATTTCTTTAAACCAATTCACTTATTGGCTTAATAAATATATTTAAATAGGAAATTCTATAATACTACAGTCATCCCTTCAGCATTAGCATCATGCTCCATAGAAAGGAGATACGGCTGGTGTGGCTCAGTGGCTGAGCATCAACCTATGAACCAGGAGGTCACGGTTAATTCCCAGTCAGGACACATGCCTGGGTTGTGGGCTCGACCCCCAGTGTGGGGCGGCCAATCAATGATTCTCTCTCATCATTGATGGTTCTCTCTCTCTCCCTCTCCCTTCCTCTTTGATATCAATAAAAAAATATTTTTAAAAAAGATGAGAGAATAAATGTACAAGAAGGCAAGCAATGGTAGTAAGTTGGGCTACGCTCTCCTGCCCTGACAATGGTTCTCAGCCTGTGGCCTGCTTGTCTTTGTTTTAAGGGCAATTTGTGATGCCAGGAAGGTGTTAGAGGCATGTGAGCACCAAGCAGACTGTCTCCTCCACGGAAAGGAAGTGTAAGGGAGACTCAATTTCCCTCTCCATCATCTAAGCCACTGAGAACACCCCCTCGCCCCCAGGGACACCGGTGGTCTTGGCCGCCCTTTCCTGGTCTGAGGTCGGCCGGCCATTCTGAGTGCATTTATCCGTCCTGCAGAGACACGCCAGAATGGAGGTCCTGAAGGAGAAAGTGGAGGAGGAGGAGGCTGCGGAGCGGGAGGACGCGGCGGAGCGGGGCGAGAAGATGGCGAAGCCACCACCGGAGATGCGGAAGGAGGAAACCCCCATGACGCAGGAGATGCTCAGAGACCTGGAGAAGAAGCTGTCGGACATCGAGATCGCCATCCCGGATATGTGCGTGTCGGGTCAGAGCAGGGCTGGGCTAAGGAGGAGCTGGGCCCAATGAGGGACCGGGGCTGGGCGGCAGGACCAGGGCTTAGAGGAGGCCAGGCCGTGAAGAGCGAGGGCTCTGGCCCTAGTCGGTTTGTCTCAGTGGATAGAGTGTTGGCCTGTGGACTGAAGGGTCCCGGGTTCACTTCTGGTCAAGGGCATGTCCCTCAGTTGCCGGCTCCATCCCTGGCCCGTGTGGGAGGCAACCAATCGATATGTCTCTTTCTCTGTCTCCCCCTCCCTTCACTCTCTCTAAAAACCTTTGGAAAAATATCCTCCAGTGAGGATTAACAACAACAACAAAAAAGTGAGGGCTCTGTTTTCAGACTGCCTGGGCCAAGTCCCCACTCTGCCCCTCGCTAGCTGTGTGACCCTGGGCAAGTCACTCAACCTTTCTGTTCCTTAGCCGTTTCAAAGGGCAAGTGCTGATAATGAGGATTAAACAAGGAGGGGCTAGAGCCCATGGCAGCCGAGGTGGATGGAGGGTTCCGCTCCAGGCCTCGCCTCCGGAGGACTAATTAATGCCATCCCTCCTATGGGCACAGGATCGTTACCAAGGACACCAAGGTCACTGTCGACACCTCCATGCTGCCCGCCTCCTACCAAAGCAACACGCCCAAGGAGGAGCACCTGCTGCAGGTGGCAGACAACTTCTCCTGCCAGTATAGCCACCTGTGCCCGGACCGCGTGCCCCTCTTCCTGTACCCGCTGAACGAGTGCGAAGTGCCCGTAAGGCCAGGTCGTGGAAGGCGGGGGAGGGGGCCCCATAGCAGAGGGCGGGAGGAGGTGGGCCATGCACAGCCTTGTCCTGGGCCAGAGCTTAAAGATAGGGAAGGGCAGAGAAAGAAGACAAAATGCCCAGGACGGGCCCCAGGACCTGAGCACTGGGCTCCTTCCTTCCAGCCCTGTAACCAGGGCACGTCCTGGAGCCTCTCTGGGCCTCAGTTTCCCCATCTGTCGATGGAATGGCAGAGGATGAACCCCAAGGCTGCAAAACAGCAGCCCGCAGGCCGGCGGAGACGCACAGACTGTTTTATTGGGCCACATGGCGATTTTTAACCTATGTCTGAGCAGCATTGGGGGCTCGGGGATTCTCCCCTGTTCTCTTACCTGGTGATCCCAGGCCTGCACGCCCCCTGCAGCCGTCAGCAGGGCCTTAGGTGGGGCCGTGCGAGATCCGGTGCTGGTGGGGCCTTCCTGGAATCCATGGGGAGACCCCGGAGCCCTGGCCCGCTGGCCCCGGGTGGCAGAGCAGCCCCTGAAGGGCCCTAGTAGCACGAGGTCCCCCACACGGGGCGGTGGCCCAGAGCCAGACAGGCCCAGCTCCACTGCCGACTGTGAACCTGAGCCTGTCCGTTTCCCCTTGGAGTCTCGGTTTCCTCCTCTGTCAGTGGCACCTGCCTCACGGGGTCACTGGGGGTCGGGGAGGGGGTGCCAGGTGTGGCGGCTCTCAGTGGGACGGTGGGGATGGCGGGAGGCACCGATTCATCACGGGCGCCCGGGGACAGCACACGTTTATCCTGGATCTGGGCCGGAAGGGTTTGGAGGAGTCCCTTTCTCCAACTCCCAAGGCCCCGGGGGAGGAGCCCGAAGCCCAGAGAGGCCTCCAGAGCGACCCCTGCCCCCAACCCGAGGTCTCTGGCTTCCTGGGCACGCCATGCCCTCCCCGCCCCCAGGTGAAATATCTCCCCCCCCCCACCCCCCTTCCCGCAGAAGTTCGTGAGCACAACCATCCGGCCCACACTGATGCCCTACACCGAGCTCTACAACTGGGACAGCTGCGCCCAGTTTGTTGCGGACTTCCTCTCCATGGAGCCCCTGGCCGACCCTCTCAAGCCGGTAAGCCCCACTCTGGGCTGCATCTCCCGCCCCGTGAGGCCTCGGATGGGAAGCCAGGCAAGTGTGGAGAGAAGGACTCAGCCCAGGAGTCGGTTTGGGGAGGGTGGGGGCAGGGCCCAGAGAGAGGCAGCCGCTTACCTAGGGTCGCACAGCAGACCTGGTCTGGCTCCCACCGCTTTGCCTCCTTGGCCTCTCTCTGCCTTAGAGCCTTCCCTCCATGACCCCAGGAAGCGGGGAAAGGAAAGAGGGAGGAGGCCCCGCTGCTCAGGGACCATGGCCTCATCTTTGCGCTTCTGGCTCAGTCAGCTTCTGGTTGAGAAAGGAGGGAGGGAGGGAGGGAGGGAG